ACATACTGAAAGTTACAATTTGCACATTTGAGTCTTCACCTCAATTGTTACAAATATCTGTTTCTCCAAAATGTTGAATTTACAGTATAATAGTTTATTTAATTCTGAAAGGCTCATTATGTTACAGAAGTATTAAAATATTTTTCTTCTAAATAATCAATTTCTAATTAGTTACTAAGATGTTCTGCTTTTTCCACCCATCATGGGAAAACATAAAAGAGATTTAATAATTTCACAACTATTTCCTGTTAAGTGCCACATCTAATTAAACACTATTTTGAAAACAAATCTCAACTACTTTAAGATACAATATATTATCATAATAAATTTTCAAAATCATACTGTTTTGTTCCAGGTTCACTGAAGCAACAATAATATATGTAAACAAAGTTTCTCCAAAATCTACAATTTAAACATTTAACCTAAAAATATTTAAAACCAACTTTAGGATGGAGAACTAATGAAAATACACACAGTTCAATGAAAACCAAATGATATTCAATAACAAACTATAAGCTTAGTAACAAAACATGTATTTGCTTCGCTGAGATACATGTAATCAAAGTAAGAGATCCTGCATGCTTTTAGTATTTGATAGGGGGGATATGCACCTTAGGAAATTGACAATAAATTATACAATGGCTTACTGTGGTTAAATATGCTTTGTAATTGATTAGGGTTTAAAATAATGGAAAAGAGAAATGATAGCAATCCATCTGAACAAAAAGTGCCTCAATTTGACCTCCGATGTATAACAACTACCCCAATTTACCGATGCTAATCACCCACTATAAGTATTCATGCATATCTCAGTCTGACATACTTTGGCAGATGCCAATTAAGTTCATGCTAATATCCTTGCTCAGAAAGCAAAATAGATAAATAATATAAACTATCAAACATTGAAACTTAAAGGTTAACACAGTATGTCAAATTATTCATTTGGAAATTGTTTTTGAACATTTCTATAATACTTACCTGGGTGATGAATGGCTTAATCTTATTCAAGATTCACAGTTGCTCCTATCCCTTCACAGAAATCAAGAATGGACTATCCAGAGTTTAACCAAATAAGTTTAATTAATGCTATTATTATCAACATTATACTTTCACTTACACCAGTGAGGCTAGGATAACCCGAACTCTCAATCAGGCTCTCTTCGTTGCTGTCCTTGGGTATAGTAGAAGCAGTGCTAAGTCTTCACAGCTTTGCAACTACCTTTTGCTGTGAATGCCTTTGGGATATTCTATTCAGTCATTTTGGACTGTTGTTAGTTCTGTCATGGAGAGAAATATGGCAGCTAAATGGCATACAGCAAAGTCCAGGCAATAACCACCTCCAACAAGAGATAATCTAAGCATCCTCACTTGACATTCAATGGTATTTATGGCTGAAATTCCCATCAACATCATCCTGGGGTTATTCCTGACCAGACACTTAACTAGACCAGCCACATAGATTCTGTGGCCACAAGACTAGGTCAGTGGTTGTGAATTCTATGGCAAATCACTCACTTCCTGACTTCATAAATTCATCATCTAACTCTATAAAGGCACCAACTGAAAGTTTGATGGGTTGCTCTCTGTTTGCATTGATGAGTACAGCTCTAACAACGTTCAAGAGGTTCAACACCAAAGCAATAGCTTTTTTGCATCCCATCCACACATTAAACACTTACTCCCTCCATCACCAACACACTTTGATTGTAGTGTGTAGCATTAACAAGATTCACTGCAGCAACTCACCAAGCCACTTCAACACAGCCCTCTACCATCCAGAAGAAAAATGACAACAGGTACATGGAAATACCTGGTTCCATCAGCAAGGCACACAACATTTGGACTTGGAAATATATCACCATTCTTCCATTGCTGTATTAAAATCCTGGAACTCCTTTCAGCAGCACCAAAGTACATACAACAGACAGTGGTTCATGAAGTCATTTCATCACCACCTTCTTGAGCAATTAGCAATGGACTAAATGTAGGCTTTGCCAACAATGCAAAATTCCATGAATGAAAAAGAACATATACATCTTTTTTCCAAACTTGGTCAGATTGATAACCCAGGTGAGAACCAGGCTGAGAGAAGTGTGAAAAATTTAGAAAAGCAAAGTGAGAGCAGGAGAAGACACGGCAGCTAGTATAAAGGGAATCCAAAAATGTTCTACAGGCACATAAATAATAATAGTAAAAAGTGGAAAGGGACCAATTATAGACCAAAAGGTAGTTTATACGTGGTGGCAGGGAGCATCACTGAATACTAACTGAATATATTGTATCTTTCTTTGTCAATTAAGAAGATGCTGTTAAAATCACTAGGGCCAGATAAGTTACATGGTAGAATATTGAAGGATAGAAATTGTGAAGAAACTAGCCATAATCTTCCAGTATTCTGAAGATATAGGGATGTACTGGAGAATTGTAAACGTTGTTCAAAAAAGGGTATAATGTTAAGCACAACAACTATATGTCAATCAGTTTAACCTGAATGGTGGGAAAACTTTTAGGACAATAATCTGGGACAAAAATAATAATCACTTGGACAAATGCAGGATGATTAGCAAAAGATTTGTTAAATGTAAATTGTGTTAATCAAGTTTGATTGTTTTTTTGATCAGGCAACAGAGAGGGTTAATGAGGATGATACAGTTGATGTGCTTTTAAAAGGCATTTTATCGTGTGCCATGTGCCAAGCTTGTCAGCAAAGTTAAAGACAAGGATTAAATCAGACAGTGATAACTATGGAAACAAATTTGATGGAGTGACACGAAATGGAGAGTAATGGCAGACAGTTGTTTTTCAGATCGGATTAAATTTTAAAGTGAGGTTTCCCCAGGGGTTAGGATTACTATTTTTCTTGATGTATGTTAATAATCTACATTGGTGCTTGCACAGAGCTTTTCACACTTTGCAGATGACACATAACTTGAAAGTATTGTGAACTATGAGAAGGAAAATGAAAGTCAACAAGAGGTCAGAGGTTGGTGGAACGGTTGAACAAAGAGCTGATGAGCATTAAAGCAGAGAAGTGTAAAGTGATACATTCTGATATGAAGAATGAGGAAAGGCTGTGTAAGATAAAGGAAACAATTATAAAGTAAATGCAGGAGCACAGGATACATGCATATAAATCAAGGAACTTGAACAGGGCAGGCTGAGAAAGTACTTAATAATGCATTTGAAATTTTGGGCTTTAAAATTTGGCATAGGAAGTTATAGTGAACCTTTACAAAAGACTCATTCAGCCTCATCTAGAATATTGTGTTCAATTCTTGACACTACAGTTTGGAAGGTATGAAATCATTAGAGACAGTGCAGAACAGATTTATTAAAATGGCTTCAGGGATGACAGACTTCTGTTCTATGGAGAGATTGGAAAATCTGGGACTGTTCTTCTTAAAGAAGGTTGATAGCAATTTTGATAAAAGGTACTCAAAGTCATGACAGGTCAAGATAGAGTGGGTAGAGAGAAACCTCCTATTGGTGGAAAGGTCAAAAACTAGAGGAGACAGATTCATAGTAAATGATAAAAGAATCGACAACAACATGAGAAAATATTTTCTTTTAAATACAAATTAGAAACTGGAACGCACATTCTGAGCAAATACAGGAAGAAGATTCTGTCATGGTTTTCTGAAGAGAATTGAATGATTATCTGGAGAGAGAAAAAAATGGCTGGACTACTGAGACAGTATAGTGGCATGGGGCTAGCAGAGTTGCTATTGTAGACAGCACATATGGATAAGAAGGGCCAAATGGCATCCTCTGTGCTGTAGTCATAATGATTTCACGATCAGAGGTTGAGAGATCAAATTTAGCCAGGGTACCAGGGGAACTCTCCTGCTCTTCTTTGAAGAGCAACATAGGATCTTCTATATTCACCTGAGAAGACAAACTAAGCTGGTTAATGAATCAAGCAGAAGGCCACAAAGGGTGAGAAAGAAAGAAAGAATAAATAAACAAGTCTGCATTCCCAGTTCTTTACAATGAATGCCTTTATTGACTACATCTTCAGTCAGGGCTTCCCAAACAATGTGAAAAAGTTTGGGAAATTTGGCCTACTGTTAACATCTTGCCAACTTCAGGAATACAGCTCTCCCTCAGTAATGAAATGAATTGTCAACCAAGTTTATGTACTTAAAATCAGTGATTTTTGTAGGGGTACAAGTTTGTTAGAATATCGTAAATGGATGCTCACATAAACATCTTTATATTGATCAGGGAACTTCCTCTGGCATTTCTAAACACAATGTTTCAATATAACGGAGGAAAGAGTCAACATTGTCTCGACATGCCTATAGCAGCATCAATCTTTTAGTATAATTCAACTTTGTTTTTACACAGTCATTAAATACCATTCCTTTCCACAGCTATATTTGTTCCAGAGTTTAACAATAAAGCCATTCATGAAATTATTAGTTCATATTGGTAATTTGGAACATAAAGAAACATCACTTTAACCAAGAAAAATAAAATATTAACATTAGCCATCTTTTTCATCTCACCATTCAATAATATTGTGATAGTGTTGTCTTCATATTGCGTTGCATTGTCTTAATCAGTGTACAAATTACAAAATATGGTTCACCCAATTATTATAATTGCCACTGTGTGCAAATCTTGTGCAGCTTTCATATGAATTTTCTCATTCCCATCTTCAATATACATTTCCTTGTAGTAGTCTTTCAACAGCTTAGATTAGTTCATGTTGCAGAAAATGTTTGCAATAAAATGGCAATTTTTTTTAGTTCATTCACAGTACGAGGGCATTGCTAGCTAAGTCAGCATTTATTGCCCATCCCTAATTACCCAGAGGGTAGTTTAAGAGTCAGCTGCATTGCTGTGGGTCTGGAGTCACATGTAGGCCAGACCAGATGAGGTTAGCAGTTTCCTTCTCTAATGTCCATTAAGGAAGGAAACTGCCATCCTCACCTGGTCTGGCCTGCATGTGACTTCAGATCCATAGCAATGCAGTTGATTCTTAAACTACCCTCTGGCTAATTAGGAAAGGGCAATAAATGCTGGCCTAGCCAGCAACACCCACATCCCGTAAATGAGTTTTAAAAAAGCATATTGCCTTTTCATTTTTATGTATTTCCTTGTTTAAAGGTCAGATGTCAGAAATATCTAGAGATAACTAAATGAGAAATCTTCTTAACACTGCTGATAAAGTACCTAGTTTTTGATTTTGAATAATTCTGTCTAACATAAACACTCAGCTCAAAATAAAACCCCAGAATCAAACATTTCCTAATACTGAGTTAACATGTTTTCAGATAAATTGAAGCGTACAAATAGGATTGGAAGAAAACTAGTCTAAGTCATAAATATTTAAATCTATCTCAACAGCTTCACATTTAAGAAGAAAACAAAAGTTACTTTGCTCTGGATACGTTAGATTCCACTCCCCACATACACATTTTTTTTAAATTAAAAAAACAGAAGCTGCATCCGTTCATGTACAGCACTTTTTTTAAACCAAAGCTTTATTGTTAGATCTTAGGAGAGGTAGTGTAAGTCAAATCCAACAGCAAAGCCTGCCAGACTGGAACTAAAAACCAAATTAGACAAACATCAAACATAGAGATTTAGAGTATAAAATTCTAAAAAAATAAATAGTTTAAATGTCATATAAAACATTTTTGTAACCTTTGATAAAGGTGTCTTTGTTGGTTCAAGAATACCATATAAAAACATTCTGTAAGGAAATAAAACATACTGTGTGCTTCAGTCAATAGAATAAACCTGTTCACAATGTCCTTCGGATAATTAGTTCCTCTCACACTTCAGATATAAATGTTGAAAAACCATAACTATTAAAATGATGTACAGAAACACATAATACTGTTCAGTCTCTATTAAAGGTTTAGTTGATTAAGTTAATGTTCAGCGTGTTTCAGCAGTCCATTCATTTCTTAAAAACAATCTTATCCCATTAAAAAAATAACCCAAGTGGTTACGGGCATATTTGTGGATAGCAAGCCAGAAGTTATCATTACTAGCCAACAGTTCCCCTGCCATGATTCACATGCTAATTGTCGGAATATTTGCTGTAGTATTTTGTTTCCAACTTTTTGAAATACTTAAAAAGTTGAAAATTATATTACTTAAACCCTTCAAAGATGTGTAAGGTTGAACACAGCTTGCTATTACACTGGCTGTTTCCATCTCTAATGGTATAGACACAGCTGTTTTAATTAATTCGGAAGACAAGCATACAAAACTCTGAAACACCCCAGTGATGAATTAGGATCCTACAAGAATCTCCATGATGTGGTCCAGGTCACTCAAATCTACTCTGCAGATCTGAATGGCGTTCACTGATGCAGAGGTGCATAATTGAAAGGGTTTTGAAACATCATCCACAATAGCTGGTGCTGATCTAGTCGGTGTTAATGGAAGTAAGCACAGATCTGAGTCATACATGGACGTGTCAATGTCTTCAAATATGTCATCAAAAGCAAGATCTGTTAGGTAACTCGTTGAATTTGTGATTTCAAAAGAGCCAAACACAGTTTCTGCAGACCTAGGTTCTTGTGATCTGTCTACCAAAGAAATGTCTGTATTTATGTCGTCTTCGCATGCAGGTGCAGTACAAGGAGATGGGCTAATATCCTCCATGAAATCCAAATCTTTGAGGATTGATGAAATGGCAGATGACATGTCATCATCTGAAACAACTACTAAAGAGTTCTCAATCTGGTTTTCTGAAAAATCTGACGAAATATTCAAATCAGGAGAGCTGATTTGAATGGATGATGGTGTTCCAGTTAACTCAACACTGGCCTGAGATGCTGCATATGAGTCTGGAACTGGACTTGTTCCATTGCAGATATTAGATCCTTCTAGACTAGTTTCTTGCCTCATTTCCTCCTGGATCTGCCGAACAGTATTTGCGATGAGAACAGAACGGTGCAAGTTTGGTTCCACCAGCATCCTACAGCTTTGCAATTTGATAAGGCACATATTAAGTACCAACTGTCTCTGCAAAGTGTAGGGCAGCCCTGGGTTAGAATCAAAGGCACCAGGAACACCAGCCATATTTTCTTCGTAATCACTAAGCTTGCGCTTCAGTCCTTTAGCCAACATGAATCTAGAACATAGAGGAGAAAATTTGAGTATCTATTCTAACACAATATAACCATTTATAGTTTTTAGTTATTTTGTTGTTTAGATACCTGAAGAAATTACACTCATTAATACACAGTAAACTAGAATTTAAATTCACAATTAAGACAATTTTCACATCATAAACCTGAAACATTACCTCTGTTTCTTTATTGACAGATTCTGCCTGCCCTGAGAGTATTTCCAGCATTTTCTATTTGACTTAAGAGAATAACTTTCTCTGTTACAGAAGCACTAACGGTAACTTTGCAGATTTGTGCTCCCACCAATAAGCATATCCCAACAGGTGATTAAGGGGCACAACTGCAGTTCACACGATTCTGCCCATTGAAACTAATTGGTACGGATCCCAAAATGCAAAGCTCATTGGAGCAGTATATCTCAAAATTGATACCCTTTTTTGAATTCAGTCTATCATTTTCCAGATTCTGAGCCTCTTAATCCAGTGGGTTACAAACTTTTCTATGCAGAGAAATCAGTTCTGGGAATCCATGCCCTAACTATCAACTATCAGCTTCTTAAAAGGATATCAGCCTTCTGATAAGTAAACAACAACAAAAATAACATTCTAGTACATGAGAAGACGTAGAAATGTGATCACACAGCTGAAGTTTGATGACCTTGCAGATCCTTTAAGAGCTAGAGTCCAGTTCGAAAACCTCTAATCTACTCTTTCCCAGTAATATCATGAAAGATCTAATGCATGCTAATTTCTTTCCTCGTACTGCTTTGAAGGATCATTCATTGAGCCTATTTATTGGCTATAAGAGACATTCAAACCCAAAGAAAGCTAGTAGCCTAGCTGTTTGCAACATCAAGTTACATTCCTGCTGTCACATGCAACGATCTTCTGGTTATATTCATCAGACTACAGTATAAGTTAGCTTTGACTTGTATAATGTTACCTTACCGTAATTCCTGTTTTTTTAACTTTTTGCCCAGAGAACTTTACAAGAGTTTACCATAGTACAGCAGCAGCATGATCCAGAAACTACCATTTGCCTTTTATTTGAAATGATTATATCATTATAAGTAACATAGGAGTGTATAACCTGCATCTGAGTTTACTAATGGTTCTCCCATTTTAGCACCAGCAGAAAGTTACCAACATTCAAAACTGACGACGAGGTAAAGACCAACAAACTAATCTCTCATATCAGGACCTGACAGTTCCCATCCCAACACACAAAATGTCCCGGTAGAACTAACATAACAGGTAACACCATAGTAAAGAGAGCTCTCGTGCTACAATAGCAGTAAGTAACCCTGCCTTGGGCCAGTAGGCCAGACTTCAAGTCCCACCTGCTCCAGAACTGTGTAATGACATCTCCGAACAGATTGATTTAGAAAAATAAATAGTAAATAAGGAGAAAATAGTTCATGAAATTCCTCTCCTTTTTCCTCAGGCAAATGAACCAGTCCAGAATATCATGTGGACTATGTGTTATTCGTAAAGTTACTTAATTACAATGTGAGGTGATCATTATTTCAGCCAAGATTGGACCATCTCCCGCTTGAAGGTGTACAAATAGTCAGCAACAACGCCAGACAATAATGTGTCCCAGAGGCTCACTACTGCCTGGTAAAAGAGAAACTCATTAATATCCAATCTATTTCTACTTCATGTGGTTGGAACTCCTGTTGCCTAGTCCTTCTCAATCTGTTAAACCGGAAATAATGGGACAAAACTGTTGTTACATACCTGGCCAACATGAGCAGATCAGTCAGAAAAACATTGGTTTGTCCATCATGCAGGATTGTGAAGGTGGGGTCAAGTCAATCCAGTGGCTCCAGCTGAGGTTGGGAGGGAGACTGAAGTCCTGAAGAGGTGAGATACCTCATTTGGAGTTGGGGTTGGGGTTGGGGGTTGACAGTGGTGTCCAATTACAGAGGCAGGCACCTCGATCCAAGAGGTAGGTGTAAAGACTGGACTCAACAAGCCCACATTTTGACAAAGCTGAGGCAATGATATTCAGGTAACCCACTCAGCAGCAGTCAAGTTCCAAAAGTGCAATGATAATGGGGCTCGCAGTCTCAATATCACACAGTCACACTGTCACCTTTAAAAATAAACAAAACAAATCTGCTTGCATTGGGCACACCCACCTTTCAGCATCAGAATCCTGGAAATGGCTGGGCTGAAGGCAAACTGAGTTCAGGAAACAGAAATCTCAACTCTCTGCCATCCAACCATTTTGTAGGATTAAACTTCTTCCAAATCTATTAATAGATATATGATAGATGTTTCAGAATATTACAGGCCTCTAACAAGTTGTCCCTAAATCTATGCTGCTTGAAATTAAATAGACCCAGCTTATTAAGTGTAGGATGTGTTTTGTTAGCTCTCATAGGATGACAGAATTTTTTTTATTCACTCATGGGTCGTGGGGTCGCCAGCTGGCCATGCCAGTTTCCCTTGAAATCATACAGTTCAGGACAGGCCCTTCAACCGTCTGCACTGACGAAAGTCTACACTAGACCCAATTCCTAGCACTTGTATGTAATGACAATTCAAGTGGTCATCCAAATTCTTTTTAAAAATTGTGAGGTTTCCTGCCTCAACTACCCTTCAGTGCATCCCAGATTCCTACCATCCTGTGTTAAATAACAAAACCTGCAAATCCCCTCTAAACCTCCTGCTTTTCACCTTAAAATTATGTCCCCTTCTTACTGACCCTTCAACTAAGGAGAACAGCTGTTTCCTATCCACTCTGTCTATGCCTCTTGTAATCTTATACACCTCAAACAGATCTCCTCTCAGCCTGGTCTGCTCTGAAGAAAACTGCCCAAGTTTATTGAGCCTCTTTTCATTGCTAACCTATAGCTAAAATAATCCCAGCTAACATCCTGATGAATCTCCTGTAAATTCATTTACATAATGTGGTCAGCAATAACATGGTGAACATATCATTGTCCCTAATAGCCCTCAAATTCAACTGAGTGATTGCTTGCCCATTGTCTTATGAGAATTAGTTTGTCAAGCTGGGCTTGGTTCAGCTGGAATTTAGAAGAATTACAGGTGATTTGACTGAAGTGTACATGATCCTGAACAGACTCAATAAGATGGCCAGAGAAAGGCGTCTTTTGTGGGTCATTCCAGCAGGGTTTTAAAATCAGGGGATGACACAGAATCATAGAATCTCCAGTGTAGAAACAAGCCATTCGGCCCAACAAGTCCACACTGACCCTCTGAACAGCATCCACCCAGAGCCATCTCCCTATCCTATCCCTGTAACCCTGCATTCCCCATGGCTAATGCACCTAATCTACACATTCCTTAATTTAGGGATGGCAATTTAGCATGACCAATCCACTTAACATGCACATCTTTGGACTGTGGGAGGAAACTGCAGCACCCAGCAGCAATCCACACAGACACGTGGGAGGATGGTAGGGGAGGCAATGGCCTAGTGGTATTATCACTGGGCCATTAATCCAGAGATCCAGATAATGTTCTGGAGACCTGGGTTCGAAACCCGCCATGGCAGATGGTGGAATTTGAATTCAATAAATATCTGGAATTAAGAATCTAATGATGACCATGAATCCATTGTCGATTGTTGGAAAAACCCATCTAGTTCACTAATGCCCTTTAGGGAAGGAAACTGCCATCCTTATCTGGTCTGGCCTACATGTGACTCCAGATCTACAATAATGTGGTTGACTCTTAACCACCCTCTGGGCAATAAATGCTGCCTAGCCAGCAACACTCTCATCCCATGAATGAATAAAGGAAAACTGAATAAAGGAGAATGTGCAAACTCCACACAATCACCAAGGTTGGAATCAAACCTGGGTCCCTAGCACTGTAAGGCAGCAGTGTCTGAGCCACCATGCCAAGAGGAAGAGTGTTTTTTTTCTCTGACAGCTGTGCACCTTAGAAAAGCTCTGCCTCAGAAGGCAGTGGAGGCCAGGTCATTACATATATTTTTAAGGCAGAGGTAGATAAATTCCTGTTAGGCCAGGGGAATCAAAGGTTATCAGGAGTAGATGGCAATGTGGAATTCAAAACCAAGAGATCAACCAGGATGATGCTGAATGCAGATCAGGTTCAGGGTGGTGAAAGGTCCATTTCTGCACCTAATTTGTATGTTTGTATTCAGCACACGTAAGCCACACCAGGTTAAAGACAGTCAAATTCCAGTAAAAGAAAAAGAATTGCAGTTTTTTTTTTAATTTTGGGTTTAAAGCCCTCTGCTGCCACCATTGGATTCAAACTCATGCTTCTAGTTCATTAGCACACATCTCTGTATTACTAGTCCAGTAAATAACCATTATGCTACCGTAATGTTTAGAGTACAAACAATCCTCTTAATCAATAATAAAATATATTATCAGAATACAGACAAACTATCTTGACATTAACAAGACTGTCAGTGGTTCAATGGAGAGTGCAGAAAGGCATGCCATGGGCAGCACCAGAAAAGTCTAAGAATGAGGTATCAACCTGGTGAAGCTACCAAACAGGACAACTTCTATACCAGACAGCATAAGCAGCAAGTGATAGACACAGTTAAGTGATCCCACAACCAACAGATCAGATCTAAACTCTGCAATCCTGCCACATCCAGTCGTGAATGGTGGTGGACAATTAAACAACTCACTGGAAGAGGAGGTCCCACAAATAACCCCATCTTCAATGATGGAACAGCCCAGCACAAAAGATAAGGCTGATGCATTCGCAGCACTCTCCAGCCAGAAATACCAAGTAGATGGATCTTAATTCCTCCAGTGGTCCTCAGAATCATTGATGCCAGTCTTCAGCCAATTGGATTCACTCTACATGATATCAAAGAATGGCTGGAGGCACTGGATACTGCAAAGGCTTTGGGCCCTGACAACAGCCCAGCAATAGTATTTGTGCTTCAGAACTTGCTGCACCCCTAGCTAAGCAATTCCAGTACAGTTATAACACTGGCATCTATCTGACATTGTGGAAAATTGACCAGATATGTCCTGTACACA